GAGGATTTACTTATTTTTTAAAGACTTCTTAGGTGAGTCTCTACGAACGTAAATCCTGTAACCACCATTCATTGTCTTGAGTAGACCCTAAGAAGTTGAAAAAAGGAATTATCTCTGAAGGCACGACCAGCGGCGATTCTTAAAAGGCGGCAACACTGGTTTTCTCCATTTAAATGTATGCAAAACAATCGATGGTGTGGAGCTTGCCTCACATTATATCGATAGTTTAAATGTATTTCAATGGTGAAAACCCAGTGTTGCCAACTTGTAAAATCGCCTTTGGGCACAACCCCTCTCGGGTGAAAAACTGTCATGCAAGAGGCCTCATTTACCTTCCAAAATTTGTTATTATCTTGGTGGCTCCTTATGAGGTACATAACGGCTTAAGAGAAAGGTTTGTGAGTCTGCGTTAGGGGAGAAGGGAGTCTGCGTGTGCCTTAAAAATGGGAGGGGGGAGGGAGAACGTGCAAGGCTACATAACAATACATTGGAATCGGCACGTCGAGTTTCAGGTACTTTGAGATAAAAATCGAGGTGAAATGCCAATTTTTCACCCAAAATTCACTATGGGAAGCCAGTTAAAGGAAGGCGGTTGCAAAAATCGTTTAAATATTTTTTTAAGAAAGTGCAGACCTGTGTTAAGGGTGCATTACAGAGGGAGGTTGATTGTAAAGATAAATCCGATTTTAATCGTAACTCCTTTTATTAACTGCTATTCACGCCCGCGAAACAAAATCTTGTGAAAGCATTATAACCATGAACATTGTGTTTGTGGTTTTAAGGGGGAAAAAAGGCTGACACGCCTTCATAGTTTTACTTATGCACCGAGCGGTAGTCTAGGATTGCGCGAAAGGTCTAAGAAAATATACGGTAATTGCGGGAAAAAGACACAAGGATTGCGCGAATAGAACCCTTGACATCTGTTACAGGAATGCGCGAATTTAAAATGAAGTTAATTTAAGGTAGAAGTTTGGCATAACAGGAAACGGTTGGAGAGTAAACGCATTTTTATGTTAATGCTGGTTTAGCTTAGTTTGTTGACAAGTCATCGACGTCTTACCTTCTGATGAAAAATGAAGTGAAAAGATTGAATAACGGTCGTGGGTATGAAGAACTTTCCTTACTTTTCTGGAAAAAAATATTTAATCGGGAGAAACAAGGCAACGTTGGAATGCTCATAAGGCGTCGAAACACAACATAGGCCTTTAAAGCTTTATTATTCGATGCCGCGATTATTCTAACGCGAGTTCCAATAATCGCGTCAAACACAGTGCGGCCGGCGTTAAGCGTATATTAGCGCCTGCAAGACTTCAGGAATACTTCACGCATTGCACAAAACAGTGCGGTCGGTGTGGAGCCCATATTAGCGCCTACAAGACTGCATGAATACTTCTTGCATTGCGCCAAACGCAGTGCAATCGGTCAGTCAGCGTGAAACGCATATTAGCGCCTACAAGACTGTAGGGATGCTGTAGGACTGCGTGTCATCATTCTTGACTTTCTACTCCAGTCATCATAATTAAAGGGAAACTATGTATCCTCAATCCGACGATTCAGAAACTCGGATGATATTTGATTATTTCTTTTGTTTACATTAAAAAAAACCATGGAACGAACGAAATATTGCGTCGATATTTTTGATACTTTTATTTGAGATCATTTAGGTAAATTCGCGGAAACTTTTCAGAAAAATTGTGTGTAGCTTTTTAAAAATATTTATTGAAATTAAAACATAAAATTTGTGCATAACGTTGAAATCAGAGATGAACATACGCTTTTTGTTGGGTGCTCTCCTCGGGTTTTGAACCCATTCATCCCTTAAAAAACTTGAACATGGTCGTTCTACGATTTTTTCCGTGTAGCTTTTTTTAGTGGTTGGCGGCTGCGCAGCAGCCACAGGCCTCTAATTCACTTTTTAAATATCTATGAAAGCTATTTGGGCCATTTGTGCTGCGAGGACTATCCATCGAAGAAAGGCATGCCTGTAAATGAGGGGATAATGAACAGTCTTCCGCAATGTAGTTATCTACCAAGATTACAACACCACCAAGATTGTCAGATTAACGCTTCCTCGTTGAATATTGAATATTCGCGCAATCATGTAAGTTTTCAGTACAAAAAAAATTCGCGAAATCCCATATATGCATCTCAAAAGAGGTGCATTCGCGCAATCCTATAGCAGCCTCAACGACTGCGACCATAGAGTACGGACAGTTGCTTCGAGGCGTTACCGTTCGTGTCGCGTCGGATCCAGTGGCGTGGCGTGCTTTGCGATATATCGACTGATCTGTCATTTAAACCTATGGAAAAGGATTGATTAACAGGGTGTTTGCAGCGAACACCTTAATGATCGATTCTTTACCATAGTTTTAAATGGCATAACAATCAATACATCGCAATTCATGCCATGCCACCAATCGGATCAGCCGGCAGCCGCTTCTATAGCGGCATAGTTCCACGAGGATTTGAAATTAATGATTTCCTAGTATAATGTTTTAATATTTTTCTTTTTTCACTGTTTCTCTCTAGCCTCCTTTTCTTTTATTCGGTAACATTTTTAAGGACACCTATAAATATTCCTTCGAACAAAGTAAGAAATAATCGAAATAGGTCTGTGTTAGGATAAACGTTGCGCATTGTTTTTTGGTTAAAAAATAAATTTATGAAAACCGAGTAAAATTTAAAAAATTCGAGTTTTTTTTCTTAAAAGGCTCGATATTAAGATGGAATGCTTTGAAACCCTCATGTAATGTAAAAATAGAGGATTTAGTTAATATGATTTTTAAAACATTGCATATGTTTATAGATATTTTAATTAGACTAAAAATGCTTGTGTTTCTGATTATAGTAAAGTTTAGTTCATATTTTTCCATGTCTTAATCAATATTTAATAAAATGCGTTATTCGAATTTCCTATAACTTGTTTGATTTTGTAGTAGAAAGGACCAAGATCAGTGGCGTGGCGTGAATTGCGATTTATCGATTGTTATGCCATTTAAACCTATGGTAAAAAATCGATTAATAAGGTGTTCGCTGCGAACATCCTGTTTATCGATCCTTTTCCATAGGTTTAAATGACATAACAATCGATGTATCGCAGAGCACGCCACGCCACTGACCAAGATATATTTAAATTTATAACCGTCTGCCTGGATCTCCATTATTTTTTACGCAAACCCATACAGCAAAGATTATTGAACATTTTTCAAACTTGATATTTCATGGATTTCCAAAATCCATCATATTTGAAAATGGTTTTGGGGGCAAGCGGCAGGTAAAAGGCCGCTTAAGTACGTAAACTATTTAGAGAGGGAGGAGCTCCGAGCTTGCCTCAGCAGATCTTACAAAAGGAAAGGGAATATAGGCTACGTCCAGTCTTACGTAAGCCTCCCGATTTTACAAAAGAAGGTACATTTTGCAATAAAAATAAATCATCTTCAGCTATTTTTCATCCTTCTTCCGTTATTTTTAAAAAAAAAAAACTGGGGGCTAGGGGGAATTTAATAACGGTCTCTGGAGCAAGCTCAGCGGTTAGAGTACGCCCTGTTCACTGATTTTTCAGGTCGACCAAATGTTACTGAGAGGTAGAAGAATAAATATTATCTGGACCGAAAACGAACTGTTCGGATTGAATTTTTCATGCAAGGAAAAAAAAATCTCATTTGAAGAGAGGCATGGGTAAAAAATAAACTTTTCCTTATCACTCGCATGAAGTTTCTTAATAAGTATGTTTGTACAGACATACACAATACGCATGCTACAGTAGAAGAAGCGACCTTTTTTTTGTAGATTCATTATTCAATCTTGACGCTGTAGATAACAATTTATTGAAAATCAGCTCAGCATTGCTATTTTCAAAAAGTACAGGTATTACCCTCTAACTTAATTGGCATTGAATTAGCTGCATTGATGATCTGAACGAGAAGTCTTTTCTCTGGCATCAAAATATTGGTGGCGAAAAAATCGATAGCTCAAAATTATCGTGAAAAATGTTCAAATTTTACATCGAACTGGTTTAAAATTTGGTAAAGAGTTTTCACCGTTGAATCGTTCTTTTATAATAATTTAAACCAATTTTCCAATTAGAAAATAACTTTAGGCTCAGAATCATGAAATTTGAAGGCATAAATCGAATCCCGTCAATAATGCTGTCTTTCAATATTATTTTTCAAAACTAATTGTTACTTTAGTTTTTCAGCCTTAGCTTTTTACCTCTCTCTGCTTTCCTATCTACGCGTTTAAGTCTCCAAGTAAAATTTAGAGGTGATAGCGAAGTTTAATAATTTAGATAACGTTTATTAATGTAGAAATTGTCATCAGAGAGATTTGTACTTCTGTATGAAAAAAAAGGAATTATAATAATGGCTAAAATTAGCTGTCAATCGTTAACACGAATTATAATGACTATGATTAGCTGATTAACTAACTTAAGAATAACAAATATTGATTGCTCATCGGTCTTTTTTCAAGAAACAAGGACTATAATTTGTTATATAATGAGATAATAAAGAATGCAAACAGGATTACTTACATAGCTATTTGCCCCTCTCTTCAGTTAGAGTTCGACTGAGGGGCTGTAATTTGTTACAGACTATAATTTGTTATATAATGAGATAATAAAGAATGCAAACAGGATTACTTACATAGCTATTTGCCCCTCTCTTCAGTTAGAGTTCGACTGAGGGGCTTGGAGGACAAAGCGTATAAATGCAGTTTTTGCTATTTCGAGAAATACGTGTATGAAGTTTCGAAATTATATGGATCCTCCTGGCGGAAAGAAAGTTCAAACTGACTTTTTGATGCTAAAAATTGAACTATGAATGCTAATTTTTCACAATATATGCATGAAGACCAGTTTTACTTGAAATCATTAATACCTCATTTTTTTTTCTTTCAAAAACTGCACTTATGCGCCTTGTCCTCCAAGCCCCTCATCTCTTTGTTTTCTTCAGTGTTCTCTTCCCTCTACTTCTTTCTCGAAGAAAAAAAAATCCAGAAAGTATTTGATGCACACGTTTATTATCATTCTTACAGAAAACTTGAGATCCATACAAAAACAAACCAAAAATTCAAGGTAAAATTTTCATTTTCCTCAATCTCTCGACCCAAACCCGGATATTTTTCAACGTGTTCGCATAGCCAAAGAATCCGAACTCCCTACTCTTATTCATACTACACACGTGTTGAAACTCGAAGTGCAGAATATTATACATCCCAGCAGCACACGTGATCTCCTCCAGCTTGGTCTCGTGCAACCCGTGCGTTTCCACTATCTCCTCCCAAACCTTCCCCTTCTTCGCCATCGTGCCCACAAAATCAAACTTCTCATGCTGCTCCTCGAACGGGACGAACTCAACATCGAACAGGTCACACAACACCTTCCACACGCTTTTCCAAGTGAACACATCACCGTTGGCGCAATTGAAGGCTTGGTTTTTAGCCTGCGGCGTCACTGCCGCCCACACGTGTTGCTCCGCGAGGACCCGGGCATCGGACATGTCACAAAAATGCTCCCACGTGTACCGCGTGCCGGGGAACCGGAAAGGGAGACCCTGGTAGCGACAAATCACAGCGTAGGTCGACAGTGTAAGCAACGCGTTGTAAGCACTCCTGGACGAGGCTCCAAGGACAAGAGACGCACGGTGAACCGAGTACGTTAACTTTGGAACGAAAGATGCTACAATGTCCTCCAAAGCGTAATAGAAATTCGGGTAGGGTAGACGGGGTGAGTCTTCAACAAACGGCGGTTCGTGGGGTAGAAGAAAGGCCGAGTGCGTCGGGTCGTGGACCGGTCCCATGTAGTGTTGCGTGCCTGTCTGGAGAGTGATGTGGCTGAGCCTGGATAACGGGTTCGACTGGAGTACGGTGAGAACGTTTGCCAACATGGTAGCGTTGGCTAGGACATTGGCTTCCTCGTTCTCACGGACTTGGATGGCGACCCAGAAGACGTGAGTCACTTCGGCTGATATCGGGCCGAGCTTCGCGGCGGTGTCTTCGTTGCTGGTGGCGTCGAAGGCGATGTAATCGTCGAGGAGGGAAGATGAGAACCAGGCGGGTTTCGGACGAAGAGCGGAGCCGTAGACCTTCCATGGGCCTCCGGGGGCTTGAGGGCTTTTCAAAGTTTCTGCTAGGCTCACGCCGGTCATTCCTGTCACTCCGACTATGAGTGCGACCAGGGGCTCGCATGTGCTAATTACTTCCTCCATTTTTAAACAGGTGTATCACCTCTAGCGAAAACGATTCTAGAGTTTTGAATGATTACCTCTTCGTGGAATCTAAGAGGACTCTAAAGAGGATGTTTATCGGAGGGAATTGCCGGGGATGGCCGTGTGGGCTCACTGATTGCGGGGAAGTGTTGACGGCATCGCTGATGAAAGAGCTGCAATCAAATTCGAAGTCAGTGATATATTACATGGACCTCCCATTAAAATTTCTCATAGAACATGGTGGGCTCACTGCACCGGAAAAAAAGTGAAGTTTATTTAACATTTTGGATGTAAAAAACGTGTGCGAGAACTCACAGGTGCCAAATTACCCGCTACGGCAGTTAGTTTTACATCTTGACATTGCTTAATTAACTGCTATAGCAATTTTTTCGCGTTCACAGTTCGTCGCAGTTCTCGCACACTTTTTTTTTACATCCAGAATGTTACATCAACTTCACTTTTTTCTCAGTGTGGAAATGTCCAAATTCAACTTTGGAGTGAGATAATAGCGATTTTCATTTTGATAAACTCAAACTTCCCGTTTGCCAAGAACTAAAAAATAGACAGAAAGTTTGTAATTTTGCCAACGTGCGTTAGAGTTCAGTGTAAAATTGGAAATCTCAATACAGAGGTAAAAAGATCATTTAAGCACAATTTTTCCTCAAAGAGATATGCTGTTTGATACAACCTTAGTTACAACTCTTTAGGATGGCAACTGCAAAGGCGTTTCTAGTCTATTTGGATCTATTATCGGTGCAGCGCAGGCTCCAGAATTTTCTACTTCCAAGACCACACCGAGACTTACCCTGCAATTGCCTTTCTGAATAGTTGTAACTAGTGCTGCACCAAACAGCATATTTCTTTGAGGTAACGTTGTGCTTAAATGAGCTTTTTCCATCTGTATTGAGATTTCGAGTTTTGTACTGTACTCTAATGCAAAGTAGTCTTGAAGCAAAAAAAAAATGCGAAAAATTGTACCCAAAAACGGTTTGCAGGGGGTGAGTCTGTGGTACGCGTAGACTCGGAATAATTGCTGAAAATCAAAATTTTGGCCGATCCTAATTTCAAGATATTGCAATTTGAGACTCTCGTAGTAACTGCAAGTTTTCTACTGATTCTGATCTGCTTTTATATTTATTTTTCCATTGAATCGATGTTGATCAGTTCACGTTTTTATTTTTCGTTCGATTCAAGTCTATCGAATACATACCCTCTCGTTACATACGGACTTCCTATCATACTCTTTTTTTTTTAACTGAACAATTCGCCTTCTGTTGCGTTTACAGCAATTAATTGTTGTTACGAATATGTTATGCGTGGTGATTTTAGTTCATTACATACTCGACTCTCTGAAGGCGATTAATGTGTGCAAGTAGCGCAATCTGTCGGAGAACAACAGAAGTGAGATTGAATGAATCGCTCAATCCCTACTTTGTTCGTTCTCCGACTGATCGCGCTATTGGCGCACATAAAACGCCTACAAAGAGTCGAGTATGTAATAAGCTAAAATTAGCACGCACAGCATAATCGTAACAACAATAGCTGCAGACGCAGCTGAAGGCGAATTGCTTTCGCACAGAAGACGCCTTCAGAGGGTCAAGTATTTAATGAACTTTTTTTTTTGCCTCAAGACCACTGTAAACGCATGTTGGCAAAATTACGAATTTTATATTCTGTCTGAACGACTGGTGCGTCGAACTGCAATGGGTTTATTTATGAACCAAATATAATTAAATCAAGTTTTTGGATTTACTTATTTCGGTAGACATTACGATGAAATATTTTTGTTATCTTATTAACTTTTCCTGGATGAATTTTGCAAAAATCTAAATACCGCAGGTACATCAGGAAAGGAGGACAAATTTAGTGACAATTAAATATTGTAGCGTTTCCTAAATGATGAGTGTCTTCACTGACCGATTTGACCCGAATTAATTTTAATTTTCACAATCGGGAACTTTGAGTTAACTGAGCCTAATGAAAGCTCTAAACGGTCAGATATCTCACCCTTTCCAGTTGATTTCAGGAAATTCGTAATATACTCAACGCGTTCTAAAAGAAATTTTGGCGAGGGTATATTTTTTGTGGTACTTTAATTTTTACCCTATCTAGAGGCCCATTAAGCTTATTTCAATTTTTCCTTGAATAAGTTCCTTGGCATGTTACCAGCAACGTAACGGCTTCGACAATACAAATCTTCGCCCATAGTTTATCTATTCAAAAGAAAACTAACAAAAAATTTCTTTTGAAATTTTCAATAAATTTTCTTCCCTCATTCGAAAATATTTGCCGAAAATTTTAAAGAAATATTTTGATTAGTATTTTTAAAAAAGCACAACATATTCGGAGATCTCAAAAATCTTTGAAAGAGATTTGGCGACTGTAGCCATCGATATAGTTTCCTTGCATTATAGGAGAGATAAAATACATGTACGTTTGATAAGCTGGGATGCATACTTGCGCTGCCAATTCAATAAATTCGTTGCTTTGGTTGTGACGTTGCAAATCTCTTTTCGTGATATAAATATTGTAGAACACTGACAAAAAAAATTGAAATAATCTGTGGATTTTCCCCCAATAATATTTACAGCCAGTTTTAGAAAGATTTTTGTTTAGTTTCTTAGAAATAAACTCCTCTATAAAGTGTTAATGGCTCAAATGTTGAAAGCATCAAATAAACGCACCTATACTAACCAACCAAAACTAAATGGGGTATTTTGAAATAGTCATTCAGAGAATAGCTGACTTAGCAATCATGTTCTTTCTTCGCAGTGTGAAAAATATAAAACACATTTGATAAGGACTGATACATTGACGGTAAAATTGCAAAAAATCCGTATCTTGTTTGCGGTGTTTAAAAATCTATGCTCCAATTTTCTCTTTTTTTTTAGAAGGAGGACAAACCAAGGTCATGACTCGAAATTTTCACAATTTATTCTCTACATGAAATCACTGAAGGTTTCAAGATATTACGTCGTTATGTACTTTTTCATTGAAAAAATAAAGTATGAAAAGAATTCTGAGACGGTGCAAACCGTCGAGATACAAGATTTTACAGTTTCACCGCCGACATATAGGTACTGATCCTGCCTCTATATTATAAAATAATCTCTTATTGAAGTAAAAATACGGAAATCGGAGCATCAAATATGTTTGAGATTATGCCAAGTAACGAGCACCAAACCTCCCCCTTCTAAAAATGATGAGTAGGCTATTCAGAATTTGCCGACTCACATGAGTAGAATTTCCTACTTACCTATATGAGTAGGAATCCTATACTCATATCACCAGAATATTCTACTCATATCAATTTTTTTCATTTTTCAGAAGTGGTGTTTTTGACCATGAGACACTGACATTTCATGTAACTTTGAAAAATAGGAACATTTTGTTCTTGTAATTTTTTTGATGCGGTGACTAGTTTCTGAGATATCGGACACGGTAGATTCAACGCTGAACTCATGATGTGAGTTGAAATCTCTGGTCATATGAGTTGGAATCTCTAGTCATATGAGTCGGCAAAAAGTGAATAGAGAAATTCTGCTCATATGAGTTCTATTCATTTAAGTTTAAATTCTATTCATATGAATCGAAATTCTATTCATATGAATTGAAATTCTATCCATATGACTTTGATTGTCTACTCATTTGTACTCACCATTTTTAGCAGGGCCACTCTTTTTTTTAAAATTTAAGTACACAAAAAGATTATTTTACCTTAATAATTGGTAATTTGATTCCTTCTTACACTCTGATGCGATGGGTTGAAACTGTTGGTTGTCACAAGCTTGAATAAAAAAACTGTGATCGTTGGAATAACTCATCCTCACTAATGCAGGTAATGCAGGAGCGTTGGAGATAAGATAATCAAGGAAAATAGACGAGTAATTAGGTATGGTCTATTACCTCGAGGTAAAGATAGGAGGCGCAGAATCGAATACTCCAGTTTTGAAATTGGCTAATAATGTGTAAACTTGTTTTTTAGAGCTTCGTCTAAATGGACCGCGTTAAACAGAAAGGAACCAAGCCACATCAGCTATGGCCAAATTTAATCAGGCAATTTAATTTTTTCCATGAAAACGGTTGTGCGGATTTTTGTGCAAATTTCTTTGAATTATCTCCATAATACGAAGCAAATGTCTTAAAATTTTCAAAGGAATCCGCACAAACGTTCTCTCGAAAAAAAACCAAATTCCCCTGTTGAATTTGGCAATAGCTGATGTGGCTTGGTTCCTCTCTGTTCAACGCGGTCCAAATGGCACATTATTGATTGAAACTTCATCCACAGAAAAACGTGACGAATTGAAGTAACCGTTGACTTGCTGTTGATAAATATGTAAAAATTTTCTGTTCAATCAGTAGAAATTCAAATTGATATTGCCCGGGCGAGAATTCTCGTTGAGTGTCAACCGCAAATGAGGGGAGGAAATCAAAGCAGCAGTAACGTTGACGCTCAACGCTCCTTCAAGTTATGGGATTAAAAAGGACTCAACTGAAATCTCTCTAAACTTATCTTGATATATTTATATTATTTCAGATTACTGCAGTATGCGTGTATACATTTGTCAATCTCTAAATTGTCTCGTAGTCCTTAAATAGAGATGGTCCGGTCAATGTGACCGGCTTGAGATTTCTTGGAAGTGAACAAAAAAATTCCCCAACATGACAAATTTCTCGCCAAAATATCATTTTTTGGACGAGCGTGGCCTATAGAGCGCGCTTGAGAGACCTCTGAACATGATTTTACTTTTCTTTTTCTTTCAAAAGATTATTGATTTGGACACAGCATGGCATATGTTGAGCAAACTTAGACTTCCTTATCTCTTTCAAAACTTGGACACGCCTCAACTCGGGTTGATGACGGCGCGGCGCAGAGATACAACTATTCGTGCTTGATGGATGTCCGTATTGCATCTGCAAAATTGAAGGCGCGAAGGCGCGAGACATGAACTGTGAACTCGCAATGCTCCATTGCTCCGCCAGCTGTGCTACCAATGAGGTATCGCTCGATCGAGGCCTGGATACACGCTCAAATTTCCATCAATTTCCGATCAAATGGTGACTGATGCGCATTATCTACCATCATATTTTTATGGCCTGCAAAAATTTGACGGCCGTTTTTGTCATCATTTTGATCGGAAATTGACGGAAATTTGAGCGTGTATCCAGGCCTTCAGATTTGGGGAAAAAGTAAAAAATAAGGTCCAATGGACCACTAGATAAGGTACGAATTTCAGCATTCTGATACATGTTTCTTAACCAAAATTTTACGTAAAACACGATGCTCACAACGAAAATTACCGAAATTAACTCCTTACGAAGATATTTAATGATTCTTAATGCGTGAATTCAAACCACCCGCTCATGAAAACTCAATGCTCTACGTGATTCACATCGCGCGCTAAACGTTATCATGACAGTCTCTGCGATATAAAAATCTGGCAACCTCAATCTTGACGCTTTGGCTCAGTTATAGCAAATTGCTAATAGTTTGAACAATACATAATGGGAAATGAACATTGCTCGATTGAGAAGCTTGCTGAAACCGTTGTAGTGGGCGATTTGACTCACGTAGAGTTTTGAGTTTCTTGTGAGCGGGCAGTTCAAATTCCTCGTAACCAATGTGAAATAAAAACGTTAATATCTTCGTTAGGAGTTGGTTTCCGTAATTTTCGTTGTGCGAATCGTTTTCTACGCTAAATTCTGGTTAAGAAACATGTATCAGATCGCTTAAATTCGTACCTTGTCTAATGGTCCATTACGTCTTTTCTACCTTCGGCTGTGGTGCTCACGTGACCCTACTACAAATGGATTACATTTTGCAAAAAGGAACCACAAGCATTCCAATGCTGCTAGGATTGTGCAACGTGCAACTTACATTTTTGGTATTACCACATTACTGAAATCATGCCAAAAATTAAATTTACAAAGGTAAATTTTTTCATGAATTTATAGTTTATTGAGAGTAAAGATAAAACTTGTTTGAACGATCAGTTTATCTTTGCAAGGTAAATAAAGTTGCACAATCTTAGCAACATTGGAATGCTCCTGGTTCCTCTTTGCAAAATGCAATCCAAATAAGACGAACGGAACTGACGCAATGTTGTGAAATAGAGCAAGAGAGAGGACGCGCTTCAATGACGGCGTAGAGATACAACTATTCGTGCTTGATGGCTATCCGTATTGCATCTGCAAAATTGAAGGCGCCATGGCGTGAGGCGTGAACTCTCAATGCTCCGCTCCATGCCAATAATGAGGTGTCGCTCAGATTCGGGAAAAAGTTGAAAAATGAGACCCGAATAAGTCTTCCTTACGTTTCTTCGCCGCCGATCTTCGGCTACGTTGACACTCTATTTTTGTTTCCTATTATTTCGATTTAACGTATAATTATTTTTTAGGATGTATAGTAGACCTATATCTGAAACTCATATTCACCGGCACCAACTCCCTCCGGAAGAGATAGTCGGGTCAATTTGACACAAATCGGATTTATACGCTGGTAAAAATTGGCAATGGGAGCTGCGTTTCAAAATAGGAATAATTATAGCCGGCTAGAAAAGGCGATAGAAAACCATATAGCTGGCTGTAGAAACCGAAGAAAATCAGGCAGCCGGGCTATACGAAGCGATGAAAAATTATACAGTCGGGCTAAAGTTCCTATCGCCGGGCTATAAGTTCATTGCCTAGTTGTAGCTTTATCGCTACCTATCGGCTATAAAAGGCTATAAGAAATTGTATAGCCGGCTGTAGAAGCTATAAGGGATCTTAAAGCTGGCTGTAGGTACGTATATACTGCCGAGCTACGGAAAAACGCCGTGTGAGCCTTCAGACGTTGTCAAGTCTCTTCCGATAAAAACTGACCTTACTGGGAAAATTCTGAAAATTATTTTCCAAAATTTTCAGACAATTTTTTACGCGATTTTATCTAAAAAATCTTAAAATTTCAAGGAAAAATACATATGAATGTTGTCAAAAATACATGTTTTATCATGGGGAATTCGGCAACTCTCGAATGTTCGTACGGCGTTCTTCCTCAGAACGGCAGTGTAGTATTTTGGAACACAGATCCTACTGCCAATTTTTACCAGGGTAGGTTGTTGTCCAGGAGGAAATTCCCTCTGACGCTCGATTTTTATCTCTTTTCAGTTTGATGTCTGATTCTTTGTTTACGATGCGTTTGTAGACCAATATCTAAAGCTCTTGTACCGGCTCCATGTAACCCGCAGGTCACGTACTTTTAGTAAGCCTCGGGTTCATTTATGACCCGGTTTGGACATCTAAGCGTTAAAAATCTCCGATCGTGTTTTGTTTTGTGACGGATAACTAACTTCATTATCTCCTTAAAATTTTTTGTGAATATTTTCTAATATAAGTGAAAAAAATCACAGAAAATTTTAAGGAGAAGTTTGAACAGTTTGTTCTGCGAGAAAATAAAACAAGAGCGAAGATTAGCAACGTCACATAAATTGGAGATACGCATTTTATTACTTCAGATATCGACATTAAGATGTAGAATTAATTAAATCTCTTACTGTAAATAACGACTGAAAGTAGGAACGATAGCTGGAAAGAAAAAACTTGAGCTTGGTGAAATGGATCCTTTTCGAATCTACGCGCGCATTTGACGAAAACGAGAAGTTGTGACGGAAGTAGCCGATTCGTCGTTTCCGCTTCGGTTTTGTTTTGTTTGTTTACAGCATTTATTATTTGAGGTTATGTTTATATTTATCAAATGTAAGTCTTGATTAAAGCTCGTCTAATTTGGAGTTCTAAGAATTGAATTCCGTTTTTTTTAGAAAATTCTTTGTGAGCTGGAAAGTTGATGTTCTTTAAAATTATCTAAATAGTGGTGTATGCATGTAAAATATCAATTTTCAATCCAAAACTTCAGCGGAAACATCTGGATGATCACAATTCCTTCTTCTGGATCTTCCTCCGTGAGCATGCCTCGTTACATTTTGTATGGTAATTAATCCTATCGTCGAAGGATGGAGCCTGCTCTTATCAAAGGTGGCTCCATCCTTTTATCCTTCTTTCCCAAAGTACTTTCGGTGTGATCGTTTTCAATTTTAATTCATTAAAAATTATCATGATTCTGTATCAATCACCGAAAGTTCAACAAGGAGGGGTTACATGAATAATTTTTCACATGACTACTTACGAACAAAACTACAAGTTCCTTAAAATGAGTCCAGCACTATCAGGACAGGCCAAATTGCCTGGTATTGAAATTCGTATGTACCTAATTTCATGGATTGCAGCTACGACATTTGCATTGTATCAACTTTATGCTGCTTGTCAACAATATTGTAAAAATTATTTCTGCCAAGAAATATTTGAAGATGGATGGCCTGTGCTAAATATGAAGATAGACCGTACTGACTATGAATGGAATTTATGGACTAAACTAATTTTCCGCCTCCTACCTTGGTTTGGTCTTCATCTGGTAGGGGCAGAGATTTTCAGAAAGTTCAGCCTACGCATCACCTTGATTTGGTACACTGCTGTTACTGTATTATGCATTAGTTATTTGACCAATTTTCATGCTGTTCTTTTGATACTTGCTCAATTTTGTTTGTACTATTTACTGCTACGTTTAAAATCCATTAGTCTCATTTGGATTTTCTTCTTTATTAGCACTGTTTATCAGTATTCTATTATGACTCAATTTCTACCTAAAATTCATGAAGATCAATTCCATGTAATATTTGTGATATTGTCCTGGTCGCATTTACGATGCATCAGTTTCACATCGTTTCTCATATCATCTAAAACTTCATCCAATTTTATTTTTTTATTAGGATACTGTTTTTACCTTCCCTGCTTCACTCTAGGCCCCATTATTTTGTACCCTGATTTTATCTCAAACGTTGAAAGAGTGGAGAGTAATTTCTTTCCAAGGTTTCTAAAAGCAAGCATCAGTTTTCTCCGATACTCATTTTGGTATTATTTTACAGAGTTCGGGTTGCATTTCATCTACATAGGGGCTTTTCCTCATCATTATGGTAATTTAAATTTGAACCCATGGGCAATGTGTGGGTTAGGGTTTGCCATGGGAATGTTTTTTTACCTTAAATATCTAGTAGTATATGGAGTTGCTGGTTCAGTAATCACAATGGAGGGTTACGATCCTCCATCACCTCCTAGGTGTATAGCATGCATACATTTATATTCTCACATGTGGCGCTATTTTGATACAGGCCTTCACAAATTCATAAAAAGTTGTATTTATAAGCCTCTTTCAGATACTCTGGAAAATTTTGTCTCTGGTTTACTCTTATCTTCACTTGTATCCCTTATTTGCTTCTCATTCATATTTTTGTGGCATGGCCTTCATAAGTACGTGCTGATCTGGTCCTCTCTCAACTTTGTTGGTTTAGTTATTGAGTTAGGATGTAAGAAATTAAGCACTTCAAAAAGATTTTGTTACTATCAAGATTCCATTCTAAGCAGAAGAAATCAAAGACGAATGTATGCTTTACTTGCAGCTCCATTAACAGTTATGTCAGCTGTATCTAATTTTTATTTTATCGGTGAAGGTGAAGAAGTAGGATTTGCCTTCGTTTCATTTCTACTCAAGTCCTCTACCTTTGCAAAAGTGGCTCTTTTACTGTCCATGTACACATTAAGTCAAATTTCAACTGAGTATGTGATTAAAAAAAAGAAGCTATAAATTCTCAGAATAAAACATTAACAATTGCAAAGCTCATGAGCTGTCTGAGGAAGAACTTTGTAGTATCACATTTTAATAATGCACATCCTGAAATAATGGATTTGAGGTTTAATTTTTATTTTCATCATTAATTAGTAGCTTGAATGCCCTGAAATGCGATCAATGAACAATCATGCAATATCCCTTATTTTTGTAAATAAGCTTTGAGATTAAAAAGAAGCATCCTTTTTCCTAAGTATCATTCCTTTTTCTCTGAAAATGCCCTAAAATAATACTTGTTGAAGGTGAAACTCCCAAACCACGTATCTCGCATGCAGTTTTTAAAAATCTCTGCTATCATTCAATATTTTTCAGGAGAAGAAATCTACATCATTCCTTGAAGTTTTCACAGAAGTTTTTTTTTTTTTGCAGAGAAGAAATCAAGGAAGTTTTAAAGTATAGACGTTGAGAAGTCTTCCATTTAAAAAATGAAATATGACAGAGAGTCTACGATGTCACAAACCGAGATACGCCATTTGGGAGTTTCACTGTCACAATGTATGAATATTTTATTTATTTCAAATTACAAATCACCTTTACCTACCTAAATCCATTCATGAATACTTAAACCTTCATGAAAAACAAGATACTGCTTTGACCGAGAAAACTTAATTGTACTCTTTAGAAACAATAATGCTTAGTACCTGGTATAAGCTCTAACTGTCTCATTTAATTATTTAAGCACATGTATAGAAAGAAGAATTAAAATAAATTTTACAATATTGGTATTTTTAAAATTTTTATTTCATTTTTATTTTATTTTATTTACAAAACAATTACACAGGCTCTCAAAAATTATGCCATCAGTTTTTCCAAGGAATTAAGCTCATAGGTATTATTAGTTCCTCGTGATCAGAATGAGATTTAAACCAACTTTCTTGGTCAATCTCCATCAACTTGATGCATTAAAAAATCAGTTGCTTCCTTCCTTAGATGAAAATCGCGCTGAGTCCAGCTGCATTGAGGATAAATTTGCTTATCGCAGTTTAATTACCTTACTTGAATTTTCATTATTTACTCTAAAATGTGGATATTTATGGAACTTTACTGCATTCCTTCTAAATCGTTAGTTCCAAGAAAATAACTCGATAAATCATATCCAAGTGGAAAGTACAAAAGGGTAAGCCTTATTTTGCTTCTTTTTTTAACAGAAATTTTAATTGTAACAAATAACAACATTGACACGAATACATGAGCAAAGGAATTTACTACGGGTAACTCATTGTAAATTTAAAACCTACAACAGGTGTATTAATTAATTCTCTTTCGCTGGAAAGAACACATTCACTGAAACCTTAAGAGGATATTAAAGTAGTGAAAGAGAACTAAATGGAATGAAAAAACTGTGAAACCATCTAAGATCAAAGGTCATAAAATTAAAGTAATTGCTACTCAAATGCATTTTGTGTGCAGATCTTAGCATTGAATCACCTGATGAGCATAAAATCTTACCTCTTTGCTTGCAAGAAATTGTCGGATCTTTCTCTTGGTAGATGTCAAAATTTGAGCTCATGAATTTCTGTAACCATGAACTAAGCAGTGAATGTGTCAAGTAAGCAAAGTTGTGCTATTATTTTAAGAAAAAGCAACAAAATGAACTATTTACTTATATTATTCCCAATTATTATAATAGCTCATTATTTCACTTGAGTTAAAACAAACTATTTATTCCTACGAGGAGAACACACAAATAACAATCAGAATAATCAGGATAGCATTAGTTATTCTTCTCAAAATGTTGTATTTGAAACTTTAAATATGAGAAAAATATCTCTACAGCTTTGTCAGTAAAACTCTAGACTCGTAGGAGAGTGCAGACTTTTATTTGAAAGTAGGTTTTTACACTCGTATTAGATTACCTAGAGAGTATGATTGGGTTATATCCAAAACTTTACCATTTAAAAATTTGATACCATGACGTGACTTGAGTAAATTTGCATCTAGGTTCTTAAAAATTATTATCTCCCTCTTTCACTATCTCGCTAATTTGAATAGGTGGTAATGTATCACTGTGCGCAGCTGTCACCTTAATATCATACATTTTTCTTCAGTAAATGAAATCATTATTTTGACCTCATGTGCTTGTATCCGCAATCAGTTAAATCTTATGAGAGGAGTATAAAAATTACTCGTCTTCAGTTTTTAATAATTTTCTTTTTGAGATTTATTTTAACAATAATTAGACTATAATACATGTATAAAAATAATGAATTAAAAATAAAATAAATTTGTACAAAAACGAAAAATAAAAATATGTATATGTTGTATGTAACATTGTGTATGCGTACATACACCTATATTCTAACAAGGTTCATCTACTCTAATGATAATTGAAATGGTGTAGTTTATTTTGAAGCAGAGGAGAGAGTTAGAAAAAGCCAGGAAGCATCGGGGCGTTTGCAATTATAAGCAATTGGTGAATGAAGAAAAAAAAAGTTTTAAAGGTTGGTGCTCTTGGGCAGGTACTGGAAAAATAAAGGCACGGGTCATCTCTCAATTCATAATTCCAGAAAAATGGGGCAGGTTCATGAATAAAAGATCTTATTCATTTTTAAAATCTGATGAATTATTAGTAAAGCGTTTTAGCTCAGCATTCATTCAATTATTAATGTTTTCTTTCCCCTGACTTTGATCGGAAAGTATTTAACAGTAAGAAAACAAGATGGATTAGCAGGAAAGTAGAAGGTAATGCAATTGAAGCATAAGGTGTCAGCAGAAGATAGAAGCATTGTAGGTAAGTGAGTAGAAAGCGGATGGCCAAACAGGAGTAGCTAATTTGCTCTCTTTGTAGACAAATCACCATTTGTCGATGACTTGATCTTTAGCTGAAATAAAAATTAAAATCGTTAGTACCATTTCAAAGGAAAAATAAAATTTTATTTTGATGCCATTGTAGAAGAATTTGGCATCAGTATGCGAGCAGGCAGCTGCACACGATGGACAAAGTCAAATTTTTCAATTTTTTCCTCTCCTTCCTTGATTTTGTTCTGGACGACCACAGCCGCTGTTGGCCACTAACTGTAAAAGGTTCCTAAGTACCCAGCTGTGACAAATAACTTGGTTGGAAATTCCGATTTTTGATTGAAGCATTAGTAAAGCATGTTAATTAAAAGAAGAATTAAGGTAGATGAATTTTTTTGTTGAAACCGAGTGCATGATGATCATTCGGGTACAATTTCATATAAGGCAGCCACTTATTCATGCGTCTATCCCTACATTCCTAAAGAAAGTATGTACAAATTTGATTCTCACTCCAAAGATATTTTGGAAAAAGAAAATTGGTACAAATATACTTGAGTTATTGTTATAACTTCTTTAAGAGGTTTTAAAGTTTCTCTTATTATGTGACTAACAGAACATTTCACCATTTTTCCTGAACTACAGGTGGGGCGACTGTAAACAGAAAGAAAAAAAGAAAAAATATTTATCACTGACAAGAAAATGATAATTTACAATAATATGCAATTATAACTATAAATGAAATCACCTTTGCTTAGGATGTCACTTTTTAGTGAAATAAAGAAGCGATACATTTACATTAGACTGAATTTCCAACTCTGATCATTCTAAATTAAAATTCAAAAATGATTTTCCTTATCACTCTAGTCTCCTAAAATTTGAAAAATTAAAGTTTGAAAAGCATCAAGACAGATTGGCTTGTTTTTGCCAGAATATTTGACACTACTCCTATGCCTTCATAATTAAATTTTAATTTAAGTTTATTTCGATTTTCGGCGGTAAGTAAGATTATGGAATACCTAAGGTTACGCTTGTGGAACATCACAAATACTTGAAAATACTGCATATAAGTGACAATGCAATCTACAAACCCACAGAACTTCAAACCAAAGTGACTGAAAATAATAAAATTGATAGGGTAGTTAATTGTATGTGTCTTCAAGCACTCTAAAATTCTCTCTATACAAGGATACATAAAAATTCTGATTTCTTTTTCCTTGAAATTAATCTCCCATCTAGTCTGTACAGATTGTGAAAGAAATGATAGTATACTTACTGGAGATCATACTTACTGTGACTGCAGCAGTTGAAAGCGAGTTAGAATCAAATCAACTTTCTTGTTACTCTTGCACAAAATGTTATTTAAAATTATCACGCACTTTCAACAGAAACAAGCTTTAACAAAAATTTGGATTCCAGAGTAAATTACTCAAAAGGGAAAACACTAATAAGTGTACCTAATGTTAGAATTACTTACAAAAAATTGAACACAAAAAACCAAAAAGAAAAACCTTCAGAGAGATTTGGAATTAAAATGTCTAATAAAATTCTAGAAAAAAAATCACAGCTAGGGTATGACACAGACAGCGCATAAAAATGATTTTTGTCATCGGTTAATATGTAGAATAAAAATGTAATTTTTCTTCAATTAAATTACTTATTAGAGATGAGAGTGCAAAATTAGATAGAAAAACTTGATTGGGCAAAGCCCAGCAAAATGTTTTTTTACTTGATCTAAACAATATTAAACAAGATTCACTAATTTCTTCATCTTCATAACAGGTGAGAGATAGGGTGTAATGATTTCTTCATGTATGGATGGTAAAATATTTTTATGACATGACTCAGATTCGGATTATATACATTTTGCATTAAGAAACTGTTACTTTTGGTTCATCTACAAAGGCACGTATCTGATGGAAACATTGTTTCTTGAAAAACATAGTTCCTCAGGTATAGCAGAGTAGTGTTTATTTAAATATAGACTAAAAATCGATTTTGGGATGAAAACCTTTTTCTCAAAACCTATCTATGTACTTCAGACGCTACTGAAAGGAAAATTTTGGTGAATTTTGGGGAAACTGAAGTCATTTAAATTCTGAACAGGTGTTTTAAATGATTTGAGAATATTAAGTGATTGCTTCCACGGTAATTCTTTCAATTATTTGGATCATAGAACCCCGAAAAAATGTATTTGAAAATGTGAAAAGTTGAGATGCTTTGAAATGGAATTTGAAGTACTTGGTTGTAACCTCTGCCTAAATATGTTACAAAGAAGTCTCCGAAGGGAGAGGGGAGAGGTAACCAAAAATTCCTTTTCATAACGAAGGAATGAAAATTTTCAAGATTTTGTTTGGGGTAAAGATAAAAGGAAGTAAGTGCATAGCCACAATAGTTGAATTTCAATCCTAGTTCCCTTGATTCATTGTTTCTAGCTTTATCATTTGGTCTCAAATGTTTTTGATAGTTTTGTGTAAAATGGGCACACGGTTGAAGCCTTTTCAGCCATTCACAATCTCATCTTATATACGATTAATGGTTGTTCAGCACAAAAAAAAGTAAGTGTGAGTGCCTTGATATTAAAAACACATTAAGTGAAGCTGAATCAGGCCATTAAGAACCACTTTATTTCCGGTACGTTTGATTAGAAAATCCTGAGCAAATTAGCGAGTTAAAGTTTCTGACAAAAGCCTCTTACGTTGTACTCGAAGAAACTTAAATATTTCCACCTCCAAAAAAATTTATCTCACCTCTGTTTTATTTTGATATAAATGTACAGTAAAAAATCGATTTTGAAAGAGAAACTTGCCTGAGTTTCTTGCTTTTTCAACTTAACATGCCTGCCATACTTAAATAGATTGCGTTTTATGTCACAAGGAGAGACAATTATAAAAAAGGGAATGAAAATGATGAAACATCATTAGATTACGAAACTATGAAAAAAAAAAAAAATGAAGAGAGTGATAAAGAATATCTCTTTTTCTTTCTTCTTTCCCTATGCCTCACAGGTCATCATTTCTATAATATGCGGGTGGCAAAATTTTGTCAGCCCAGGATGGCAAAATTATAAATTCGTCCTTCATATTAATAGAATGTCATACTATTTTCGATTTGTGTGTGTGTGTTTTTTTTTTTTTTTTTTTTTTTTTTTTTTTTTGAGATTTACTTCCGTACTTGAACTGATTGGTACATCAGACAATAGCAACAAAAGGTGAAACTCACAATCTAAATTCTTTTATAAGAGCTTATGTTCATTTTGATATTGTGAGAGCTCTCAAATTTTGATCACTCGAATAAACTAGGAGAATTTAAAAATTAAAATACCACTTAGGTATCTGAGTTTTAAAATTTTACCTATAAATGCGGTGTTGTAGAATTAAATGCTGAAAGTCCCTTGATTTTATGACAGTGACCTTGCTACCACCCCCCTCAAATTTAAAGCCCAATAACTTTTGCACTAAAGTTTGCCTAGTTTTGTAAGAGGATAGAAGTGGATAAGCATCGAATGGAAATAGTGCTCTCAAACTACGGAAATAAATTAAAAAAGACTTGATTAAATTTTTTAGAGTGTAAGTGATACGCCTTTCTCAATATCACAAATGCATACTTATTACTTAATCGTTTAGGAAATATGTATTGTAACTAGCAGTCTTAAATTAACATTAAATCATTTTACATCATGACGGGTGGATAGAGGATTTCTACTTACATGCACAAAGGAGGAGCAGCTCAATGATTTAATCTAGATACAACAAAAGACAAAGCTCATGCCAGTCGTCATACGGCATGATAATGTACAAATCAAGAGTTCAAAATTCGCCACGGAGCGCCAAAGTAAGCTCTTTCGGGCAAAAAGGGAAACATTACAAGCATTTTTTGGGTTTATCAGCCGGGGTTTTGAAAAAAGATGTAATCACAGAGAAAGAATCTGGGATTTGGAAAAAACAAAAAACAAAAACAAGAATTAAAACCAGGTTGAAACATAAAAATCGCTCAAGTCAAAAGACACTGTTTGCATCTCTAAGTTTCAAAATTTCGAATCAAATTTTTTTTCTCTTCAGAAGCCCTAACCAGCATTGCTTGGACTTTGCTGCAAGTGAGAAAACAAAAAATAATTGCAGCAACCAAATTTAATGGAACGATAATGGTTAGTTCTCCCAAAAATCCTTACATTTTGAAGAAAAATTCTGAATCATCCTGATGCAAATCTTTGTCGTAAACTTCAACCATCAAAAAAGGAATAAAATGGCTACCGAATAATTTCACTTAAAATCAATTGAAATCTGCGCATACACAGATAACATGACTTTCATGAATAAGTAAACGTTTTCAGTCTTACTGAAATAAAAATTCAAATTGATTAAGAATCAAACTAGTTTGAATGGAAAGAGCAATTATGATTTCTCTTCTTTTCTCCAACTAGAATTCTTGCAAACTTGGTTTTATCCGTATAGTGAAAAACAAAATTACTCATTTAGTAAAATGTCAAAATTGTAAAAGCCTAATCATCCTGCAAAAAATTTCAAAATATATAAAAAGTATTTTGTGGAGAAGTTGTTACTGTTGCACTCACTTGCACCAATTTATAACTTTTGAAAGAGATTTTTGGAGATGAAAATTGCAATGAGCTTCTACGCATATCAACTCATTTTTTGATTGAATAAAAGCAAAGGCAAAATTTATATTTTATTATTAATAATTATGGTATGTTCTATAGTTTGCTTCTTATTTATGACTCCTAAAGATTCTTATGGTATAGTGCTGTAGATTTTCTAAAATTTACTCTTCTTCGTGAGAAATAACTGTGCAATCCAGTTTGGAGATTAGAATGTTTTTAAAAGATTAATTTATTGTAGAAGGCGAGTAATTCTCAAAAGCCTCTTCAAGGAACGGAAAAAGTTTCTTTACCGTTCGCAGCATTGTTATATGTTTCAACATAATATTCAGGTCAAAACAGGTGTTTCAACAGGGTCAATCACAAAAAATTCTTTCACTGAAAATCTTGTGTGATTTCATTCATCTTTGATTCATAATTAGACATTTAGGCGCCACTGAATAGAATGGTTGGTCAATTTAAGTTAATGGCAAGTTATTCAAGGAAAGTTGACCCAAAATAACATCAGCTCCAAACCTCAGAACACACTTCACACTTCTCACTTCCTCGTCAATTCTATGCATAATTTTTTCTCCCTGAATGCATTTGAAACAGCACCATTTATGTAATATTTTCCATTTATAAAAGAGAAAAACAGATTAGTAATCAAATTAAAGAACCATTTAAGTTTTTAAAAGAGCGATAAAAATAGAAAGACAAAATAAAATAGGCAGATGGACACATTAACGTATAGACATAGCCAGTCACTTTGCTACTATATTTGCAGAACACATAAACCCATAAAAAAAAGGCTGATCCCTAGTGACTTAAGCTTTTAGAAGTTCCAGCTGGACTTACGTAAAAGAGAATTTGAGAAGCATGAACATAGACGAATTTAGGCAGGAAAATAAACTCAGAGGTTAGAATTAACATTGACACTAAAACAAAGACAGAACTTCGATCTATACAAGAAAATAATTTGCGCTGTAACACCTCACGCAGAGATCATCAAACTGAGGTGGCAGTCTCAAAAATTGCTACGGGCCCTTTGTGAGTAAGCAGACCTCCCGAACGTAATTTTCGACACTGCACATTGAAAAGGCAGATGCCAAAATTGGTGTTGGTTGGCATCGAATATTTGCAAATTGTACACGTAAAACGATTGCGAACGGTCACTGTGAGTAAAGCTGCGGTTTCTTTGAAAAAAATAACTCATTTAGGGCTTTGATGAGTTGGAGCAGTGAAAAGCAATTTGAGAGTGCACACTAGACCCCGACCTCTAGTCCGAGATCACGTTGAGTAAAGCAATATTTTTGCAGCCAGTCTGTAGCTTTAAGAAGACAAGTGTGATGTATCTTGAAGCAAAGTTTGAACTGCTTTCACACTCTATCCACCACGACAAATTTTCTACGGAAAAAATATCAGTCGCAAGATATTTGTATCTTTCAAGATGCTCAAACCATATTTATGTTTACTTGTAATGCTATGATTGAACAATTGGTCTGCATAGATTCTCAACATTTCCCTTTCCTCACCTCCATGTTCTAATGTATAGGCTTGTATACTTAAAGATATCATCACAGAGAAAGTATGAGGGTGGTAGCAAAGCAGCAACGTCTAGATTAGGTCATTGCGCAGAAATGCACCTCAGCTAATGAGAATGATTCCACAGCAAGGTTCAGACTCTGCTGTAAGCCGTGCATGACTCTCATTAGACCGGTGGTTGTGTAAAAATTTACATTTTTAAGCTCACCATCACCTTTTGTATGTTCTCTAGGAGAAACCATGACGTATCTTAAATATCATGCCTAAATATTTGCATAGTGTTGGCATGGATGGATGGGCAATAATCAAAAATTTATGCCTGATGTTATGCTATTTTGCCTCCTCTGTTTCCATTTACATGGAATAATACGTTCAAAAATGTGGTTAGTAATGGCAATTTTTGCAAATCCTACAAGCCCTAGAACTCTCAAAATTGCGCCCAAGAAATTGGGGAAAATCTGTGTTTTGTGTTTATGGGGAGGAGAGCTCATAAAATAAGCATCTTTCCTGAAAAATATTTTCAAGTTGTATCTCTATCAAAAATTTTCAGATTTCAGGAAAAGGGATTCCAGATTAGATTAACATGTTTTGTAATAGACGCATTTCAGAGATTACATACTGGTAGCAATGCCCAAACTCTTGGACCACAACTCAGCAGGATAGCTCTGAAACCTCTCATTCTGTGCAAATAAGCTTAGAGGTTTGACCTACTTTGACACGAGGGGCCTTCAGAGACATGTTTTTTGCGAGAATTTACATATTTCCGATAATTTTAGGTGAAAATTTCATTGAGTTTGCTGGATTTCGCGCTAAAAATTCTTTGTAATTTTCCACAGATCGTTCATTTCCGGCAAAATTATCACAAGCGTCATTGGTGCTCAGGCACTGTTGCCAAACTTCTCAAACTTATCCAATTTCTTACAGAAATGCAAAAGAACAGAATCACTTGAAAAGTTTACTGAACATTTCTTTTGTCACCAAAATTGAGCGACATTTTCATGAAAGTTTATTCAAAAGAGTTACAGAAAAAACTAAAACAATATGAGGATGTCCGGCAACATTGCACCTCAGCGTAAATGGCGGTTGGGATACTTTGGCTGGAAGATGACAAGATGAAAAATAAATCCCTTTTCCTTACTTACTGGGTAACTCTGAGAATGTAACACATGAACGTTAAAAATCACTCCTATATTCTGGCAAAAATCATAAGCAGTGCTCCTACATGAAATCAAATTTATGTAAATATGAACTTTCCTTTTAAGTTCTTGGAATATAGTGTCCATCACAGAGAGTTAAAAGCAGTACATTCAATTCTTGCCTTTTTGTGGCAAAATGGGAGTTTTGAAGGTTCATGATTGAATTTCTCTAAATAACTGGTGGTTGTAAGCAGTGTAAGGAGTAAACGGAATATTCCTCTCTTTTAATGATTTTCAATAGCTAGTGAAAAGATCAAAAAAATTTGATTGAAGCTCTAGTTGGTAACAAGGAAAAAACTTAAGCTTAAACATTTTGTTACGTAACATACAAATGCAGTTGTGTTAATAATTAGGAGGAAACCAAAAACAAATAAACCAAGTATTCACACTGAAAAAATTGTATTTTTTCATACTTTTAAAATTTTATTTTTTATACTTTTTTTATTTCTTTTGCGCATGGTGATTTTTTTAAAAAAAAAGACTAAATTAATAGCAAAAATCATTACATACAGTTGGATCGAATATCAGTTGTAGGTATCTAAAATTTTTGCTGCATGTACAAACATACATACTATGTACAGAAGTCAACACTGACAAAGCAAGTAAAAAGTGTCTTTCGATCGTTAACTAAGTACTCACTTCGAATGAACATTCAGACAAAAAATACAATTAACAAAAATAAAAAAAAAAAAAAAAACGGGAACAGGAGATAGAAAAAAGAAAGTGACTTAAAAAAGGGCATTCAGCAAACAAAATAAAAGGCACACTCTCTTGCTTGATCTGAACTAAAATTCAAAAAGGGAGATGAGGTCAAACTCGGACAATGATGTTAAATCATGTAAGGGGGGACGGGTAGATACTGGAGGTGAAAACAAATAAAATTATGATCGTGGGAAAAGATGGAATGATAAGCTGAATGCAACGGATTGGAGGGCTGGCTGGACGTCAAAATCAATAAAAAAACAATTTCAAGATCAACAGTTAAGGAATGGATGAATTCAAATTCTAGTTCCACTAAGAGATCACTTTTAAATACACTTCGATTCGACATCAATTTTGCAGGGCATTTACTGTGCACACCTTAAACTTTTGATAATGTTGGTTAGGACAGATTTTGTCAAGGCGTTGACAAACTTTATCATCACAGTGGATCCACATTCCCGTACCTAAAATTATGACTGCCTTAATGGGAGAATAATTTCTTTTTTGTTTCTTAATTCGCTGCATTGGAGCATTGAGGGTAACAACAGGCACTTGGAGAAAGAAAGGAAAGAGAAATGAAAAAACCCTAGCAGTCATAGCCTGGGGATGAAAAGTTTTAAAATCACAATTCCATACCAACTCTTCGATAGAGATGATTATTTTATACTACTAAAGAAATATGAAAATCCAGATAACTAAATTATTAATAGGAAAAATGCACTTAATTACCTAAAGGTATCGAAAATTTGAAACTGAAAAACCCTTAACTTCGCTGTTACCTAACACTACTTAAAATGTAAGTAAAATCTAATATTATGATTAAGTTGAATAAAAAACTTAACTTCAAAAACAATCACTTTTTTATTCGAGTATCACCTTTGAAACTTAATAAAAATCCATCACTGGACGACAAAACCATGATCGGTATCTTATTTCGCTGATAACTGTAATAAACCTTCCTACAATTGCACTCAGGCATCAAATTTTCTAACGCAAGATGAAAATTTGAAGAGAGGTTGCCTTAAAAAAAATATATATACCTAGAGATGATAACTCCAGCTGATAGAAAAAAAATTCTTCATAGCCTCAAATTAAATGAAAATTCTATTTAAATTTTAAGTTAAAATTCCTATCTCTATATTAAATGTATGCCATTCCTTATTTAAACTCTAATTCCCACTCTTTAAGAGTACTCTCCCTCAACGAGGGGAACATTCAATCTCACGATTTATACAAAATTAACATCTATCTCTTATGTACAAAAAATAATTTAACCGAAACTTGTTTAGTAACAACATTTATACATTTCGCACTACCCCCATGTCTAGGATACTACTTTTAGTAAGGATACTAAAACCAATGTACAACCAATTCAGAACTACCCGATTGACTTGAGTTTGAGGTGAATCGCCTCAATTTTGTGACAGTCTACCAGTGCTGGTTCATGGAAAGAACTCGGTAGGTATTAAAATGGATAATTCCCTACTACAGATGAACTTTAAAAAAAAAAAAAAACAATAACTCACGAATGATTGCTGTCGATCTGCTGCCACTGACTTTGCAAACAGTATTTTTGGTTTCCAAAATTGGATTGCCTCACTCTCTACTAAAATCCAAAGAAACTACAAAAACAGCACGGAAAAATTTGCTCCTTGTTTTTTGACTTTCAATGTGTCAAAAAGTTTAATCTAATTTGTAAAAAAAGGGAAACTTCAACTTGAAAACAAAAGTTTAAAAATTCTCTCTTAAATGCCCTGTGACATGCTTCGTACAAAATTAACAAAAAGAGGTCTCGAGCACCTTAATGTTTCAGCTATTTATAGAGTTTCCCAATAATAGGCAAAAATCAGTTCAGGACTCTGACATTTGCCTGCGCCAACCTTCTCACCTCTGGGACCAGAGACTGAAGGGTCAAGGAATAAAATTATTCAATCCTACAGGAAGTTTTAAATAACGTCAAAAAGAGAGGAATGATGAGAAAATAATCAAGACGGAAGTCTAATCACTTGATGTAAATGCTGTTATTTCAAAAGTTGGTACTGCGATTCCTACTAATAAATTTGAAAAATTTTATGGTTGAATTGTATCGCATTTTTTATGAGAGGTAAATCAAGCATTTTTCGGTTGACTGTTGTACTCTTTGAATTTTGAGTGAGACACCTTGTAAGGGAAGAGGGTGGTGCGACTTTCAACGAGGGGTAAGTTCACTTTAAGATTACAAAAAGGCTCTTATCACATTTTCAGACATTTTGAAAAAATTCAAGCATCATGTTTAAGTAATTGGTGGCAGTAAACACCCTGAAAATTGTTTCGATTTCCACACGTTTGGACTTCTTATTGATAACACCAGCTGATCGATTAATGAGGGTGAGTGAAAACTTAAAGCGGTCCATAGATGATTAGTCCAAAAAACACGGCCCACATCAACACTTGATAATGCATGTGGTACAGAAAACTCTTACCGTCAGTGACTCGTCGAGCTACAAACTTAAGGGTTTCATCTAATAATACAACAGGGATGGAGAATTTCATCACTGTAATCCATTCGTCGGGAGACAATGGAGTTACTTGGAAAACAGTCTGAAAAAAGAAAGAAAGAAACAAACATCAATTAGGATGAATCAACAATGAATCAATCTGATGAATTACAAAACTACATTAAATACCATTGTAAACCATCACGGATCCATAACTTACGGCATCAATTCCAGGAAATGATGTAATATATTTTTTAGTTCTACAAACCAAACTACCTTGGATTGCTTTGGAGTGAGAGTGGCTTCTAAAAAGTTGACAAGGATTGTAGATTAAAGAGAAGAGAATTTTTGTGAGACCTAATTCAAACGTTATCCCTAGTAGCAGAGTTATATGAAAAATTTGTTTTTAAAAGTATAAACCGTAAATAACCACAAGCTAAAGAATATTCATTGTTTATGTAATGGATGTAAAGTTTTTTAGTTAAAAGTTTACTAAAAAACTTATTTTATTATGTAACCCTTAGTATAAAAGTTATATAACCAAATTCAAAGAGTGTATAAAATGAATTTTCATTATTCTTCCTGGCTGGTAGCGCACTCTAGTTATGAAGTGTGCAAGTTTTCATATGCGTTACTACCAGGTGGTGGATCATCGTAGAGTTGTGACTTACCTTAAATCCGCGCCGTCCTAGTCGGGATTTGAACCCACGCTTCGGGATGGAGTTGCAATCCGAAGTCCAGTACTTTACCACCAGACCAGCCAGGCTTGATATGAATGGGCCCCTAAATTCAATCTCTTAACTATCGCAGGCCTCTGAGTCCGTAATATTTTGTTTATTGACGGATTCTTATGATATTTTACCAGACTTTATTATTTATTATTTATTTATTTATTGTTATTTATTTCATGATGTAATTTTTTCATTTTCATTTTTTTTAACTCTCTCTCATTTTTTTAGCTCTCTCTTTTTTTTAACTATCATGATTTTTAACTATCATTTTTTCTAACTCTCTCTATTTTTTTCAACTCTCATTTTTTTAACTCTCTCTCTCTCTCTCTCTCTCTCTATTTTTTAACTTTATAATTGCGTCTTTTTCCAGTTTTAATTATTTGGGCCTTTTTCTAGTTTGAATTTAGGTCGACGTATTTATGTTATTTATTTATTATTATTATCATTTCCTTTTTTCTTTTAAATTTTTATAATATTAATTTAAACATTTTAAAAAAAATTAAAATTTTTAAAATAATATTTAATAATATTTTTAAAATATTAACAAAAATAATTATGATATACTTTAAAAATATTATAAAATATTATTTTAAAAAGTTTAATTTTTTATATTTTTAATATATTTTTATAATGTTTTAAAAATATTCATTGATTGTATTTCAAAAGTACTTTTTGAAAATATTTTAAAAATACATGAAAAACATTTTAAAAATATATTAAATTTCAATATTTTTAAAATATTGCTGTCTAACTGGGCAGGGTTATGAGCCAGACGCGCTACCAACTGAGGTAACAGGGCTCCTCGGATTGTGTGTCGAGATATCCCCTTTTAACTCGTCTCGGAGCCATTAGTACCTCTAATAATACCTATCCCACGCAGTCTGAGGAGTCGAGGGTGTTCATTGAAATGAGATCATCATCATCATTCATGAAAATGAGATAGGTTTACGTTAAAGTCATTCAGGTCATTTATATAACAGTTATAATAAGCAAATTAAGCAAAAGGATACTATGCGTATAAAGAAAATTTATAAAAACCCTTCCTCAATTATATAAATTTTATATAAACGTTATCTTCTGAAAATATGAATAATTATTTTCATGGGCATTTTATATAAAACTTATATACACGATATATAAACTTTAGTTAAAATGGTGATTATATAACCGGTATTAATTCCTTATACGTTTGTTAGGAAGGGGAAAGTGAATCATGCTACTAGGGATCGGCCAGATGTACAGTTTAGTTTTCAATAGACAATCTGAGCACAATAAATTAAGCCACTTAGTTACATACCGAACCTATGATTGCCAATGCATCAGACAAACAACAGGAGTCTAAGTTCTAAATAAAATTTCTTATAATCATTTGGTTTGGTCAAAATGGCTGTTCAACTATGGCTTTGATGGGAGAACATGAAAAAATAATTGCTAATGGAAGGTTTTTTAAAGAAATATTCCTTTGAAGGCAATACTTACAGACAAAATATCAACATAGAGAATAACAAAGTGAAGAGTGAAGGAAAGAGCCATTGAGGCGATGAGCCACATGTTTGACCATGGTGGCATTGTGATCAGCGACTGGTTTTCTGATAAACTGAAAAAAAAAGAAAACAAAAGTTGTATCAACAGACTTTATGAGAGCACTAGTCTAATATTGGTAGCCAACGCTGAGTTAACAATATTCCGGGGAAAAAATAAAGCAATCACCATACAGTGTCTTCCTTCATTATGTTTCTTTACTTCAGAATTACACGATTGCCACAGAATTTAGAAAATGAAATTCCCTGACTCAGATTTCCCAGACACATTTTGGTAAAATTATCCGAAATTGTAGGCTACGTTGGATGATTAAAAAAACAATTTGAAATAGGTTTTTCCGGTACTCTCCGACTGCAAAAACCCTAGAATTGTTAAAATGCTACTTCATTGAAGAAGATTTTTTTCTAAGAGAGAGAACAAGTAGTTGCCAGAAAAATATTTAATTTACTTCAATTTAAGTGATTCCTATGAATTCTCTCAGGTAATGCTGATGAGAGACAAAACTTTAAGCCGTATTTTACCTGTTCATGGCGTTCAACATTTCAATTGTGACAAGGACGGACAAAGCCATTGTCATTGGGTGAGGATCATGGAAAACATGGCAGTCCAAGCCCTTGAACTCCTCGCCACCTCCAGAGCAAGCCAAGTGATGAGTGAGCTGGTAGTAAGTCATCTGGGGTCCGTATGGTGAGTACATGAACCACCAAGCGGCAGCACCAACGGTAGCGGCTCCGACGTAGCCTCCAATAGCCATGTAACGGAAGAAGAGCCAGCCAGAGATAAGACCTGACAAACGAAAGGAACATTGATTACAAGAAACACATTTTTGCAATAATACTGACAAACTTGTTTTTGTCTGAGATTGACAGAAAAAGTGTCATAGTATTCACAAAGCTTTCTACTGATTTTTTTCAAGGAAAGCAGGTGCAGACGATTTTTTGATCGAGTAACTAGTTTACTTAACCTAACTTCATACTTAGATTGTCTTGCCTACAGTGTCTAGTTTGGAATTTTTCTATTCCCCAATTATCAGAAGCAACTTTTGGGTGAAAATGAGGTAACTTCCCACTTTCTCCAGATTTTCGTGGAATAATAGATTTCTTTTAACCTTTTGTCTGATTCTATAGCCCTGTGGTGATAAAATCTGGCAGATTTTAAGACAATATGGTCTAAGGTGGAGAAGAGAGTTTCCTAGTTTTCAACATAGATTTTCATATTTTCTCAGCTACTTTTAGTTCTTATATGAATTCTTTCCTGAGCCTAGACACCATGAGTATTACACACAGAATAAGTTGTATGACAGAATAAGTAGTATGACGGAAGAGAGGCTGCCAAAGAAGATGCTTGATTAGGTTCCTCCTGGGAGGAGATGCTAGGGACGCTCAGTGAGAGGGTGGTAACAGAGGGTCTTAAACGAGATTCGGGAGTGTCAACTCCCTGATGGATTGTGGGAAGACCTAGTTTTAGGGCGATTAGGCGTCGCAAAATGCCAGAGAGTGCTATAAAAGCAACTCATGTATGTATGAATAAGTTGTAAGATTTCACTTAAATTTTTTCCTGACTCCCAACGATTATGGTTTTACAAGATTTAGAGAGTTTTGGGTTATTAAATTCCCTGTTTCACTAGTAACTGGCGGCAGGTTTTACCTTCATCAGCCTTTCGGGGAGGTTTGTCCATGATGTCGAGATCAGGGGGGTTGAAACCAAGAGCAGTGGCAGGCAGACCATCAGTGACCAAGTTGACCCACAAGAGTTGGACGGGAATCAAGGCTTCGGGTAAACCAAGGGCAGCAGTTAAGAAAATACTGAAAAATACAAGCGATACAGCATTAACTTACTATTGAAATAAAGGGGTTACCCAGGGGTGAGGAAATACAGCAGTTTTTCCTGAAGAGTACAAATACTTTTCTCCATAATCAGGCATTTAAAATTCATCCATATGAACCATATGGAATAAACACATCTTACTCTGTCTGAGAGAATACCTCACTGATTGCTTTGATGCTTCACGGCTCAAAGCAGTAGAAGAGGCCGCAAGCTTAAAGTTGACGCATGAACTGATTAGCAAGTTTCCTCGTGAATGAATTGTGAGTTATTTTCCGTAATTTAGCACTTTAATCATTATTCCACCACTATCACATTAAATGCTTTTACTTCTACAATTAAATCATCGTAAAAGGAAAAATGGAGCAAGAGGTGAGAAAGTTCAAACAGGGTACATACCTGACAACTTCACCAATGTTTGAGGAAATGAGGTAACGGATAAACTGTTTCATGTTGTTGTAAATAGCACGACCTTCTTCAACAGCAGATACAATGGATGAGAAGTTGTCATCAGCCAAGACCATCTCAGCGGCTGATTTGGCGACAGCGGTACCAGAACCCATGGCAATACCAATTTCAGCTTTTTTCAATGCAGGGGCGTCATTCACACCATCACCAGTCTGGGAAAATATAATAGAATTTCAATAAAAAACTTGATACAAATATAACAACTCTTTAAGATAAGATGGAACTCTAAAAATGTATACTTTAAGAGGGAAAGAAAAACTGAGTAAATAAGTCAAGGACTGTAAGGAAAAGAGGGCAGTGATCATATTTTCTAAACTTGGAGTAAACACTTTTTCAAGTACCTACTGAAGGTTCTGTTGATAAAAATGGGTTCGGGGCTCTTAGCCTCTTTTGCTCATACCATGTCTGAACAAAAGTTACTTAATTCTCCGTAATACCCAATATTTGCAAATAACTACGGTGGTCAGAAAGAATGGGATTCGAAAAATAAGTCACTACGTATTTCACTATAAATGTTCATGGTAAGAGGCTTTGTAGTAACCTGAGGGACAAATTATTTACTATTAGAATGAAACAAAAAACAATTTCACTTGCATACATTTTGAAGAAAATCTCTTGTGGATCTGTTGTTACAAAGATTACAGAGTGGGAAATTAAAAAATAAAGCAAATGAACTCGTACCATAGCAGAAATTTCATTCATGCTCTGCAGGAACTCAACAATTTTGGATTTGTGAGCAGGTTCTACTCTTGAGAACAACCTTGCTCTGGCAACAGCCTGTTTCTGTTCAGCGAGAGGGAGATCATCAAATTCACGTCCTGAGTAAGATTTGCCGGTTGTGTCTTCATTTTCACCGAAAACACCAATACGTCTGCAGATAGCCTCAGCAGTGGCCTGGTCAATCAAGAAATTGTAATAATTAGTAGAGTACATACCCACATAATGCGCAACATTAAGTAGCAAAACTAGGTTAGATGGGGCAACACATAAACCAAAGTACACCAAAATGATATAAAGCATGTCTTTTTCCTCAATTACAACAACCGATTTCAAAACGAATAAAAATGATCAGAGTAAGAAATAATTCGGCTGTTATTGAGAATAAAGCTACCAAAATCCATGTTCAAGACCATGGAAACATCATTAATGCAATGGAAAGCCTCTTGAACGATCAAAATATTTAAAAAAAATGGACGCTTAGGGACTCATAATTAGGAACATGTAGTTACATTTTGCTAGAACAGTTGATCCATTTTGGCACGGAGAGCTTTTTTCCTTTATTTTAGGATCCTGCGAGTAACTCATAAGAAAAATGAACTGAGGTAAACTGCAGTTCAAAATAGGTTTAAAGTTCGAAGTGATCTGATTTGAATTACAACTTCACTTTCTTTATTAGCACAAAAAAGAACTAATTAATGCTTCAGAATACTAAGGAGCGTATCTTCTTGAAAACTTAACAAAAATTGCCTAAGATTCGCCACCTTCACAGGGATATGTATCTCTATAGAACGTTGCGAACTACTTATGAAAAAAAGAGAATTAGTACATTACCTTGTTGTCACCAGTGATGACAATGACACGGATACCAGCGGCACGACACCTCTGAATGGAATCGAAGACTTCCTTCCTGGGAGGGTCCAACATACCGACAACACCAACGAATGTCAGGTTGACTTCATATTTGTAGAATTGGTTGGAGTCACCAAGGTCCATGTCTTCTGGTTTGGCTGGAGAGTCAGCGGTGGCCAGGGCAAGGCAACGAAGAGTGTCACGCCCAGTACCATATTGACGGGTCAAATCTAAAATGCGGTTCTTCAGGGAAGAGGTAAGAGGGAACTGCAACAAGAGACAAACCAATGTGAGATGACTTACAATATTGTTGTGTTTCAATTCTTTTCTTGATTTTCAACTGGGATGAAAAACATTTGCAAAAGTTGACTCTGCGTTGAGTTTTGTGTCAACAGATGAATTATTAACATTCACAAATAAATGGAGAGCTTCATCTTTTGGAAACATGAACTTAAAACTTTCCTCGGGCCAAAGTAACAAATCAAATACTTTTAGCATGATAGCGGAAAAGGATAGAAAAGACCAACTAAAAGGAACAAACCCTCAAAAATCTAGTTAAATTCTGTGATACTGAGATTTGAGCAAGACAGTCTAAGAAACCACTTTAAAGCCAGCAGAGCCGACCCATCAGTCTTGTAGAGCTAACCAGGAAAATATAGACTGACCGTCAAAACATCGACTGGTTCGTCGAAGATGAAAGAGAACAAAGCAGTGTCAATAGTAAAACTTCTGACGTAGTGTCATGCCCATTTTTGCGTACTTTTGTAACAGCAGCGTCTCAAATAACAAAAAAGTGTTTTCATTTCCATTTATTATTTATTTACCTGTCATTTATTTGAGTGCTTGCCTCTTACAGCATTAAGTATGTGTTAGGTTCATGAAATGATAATGTACTTACTTTCTGGCTTCCAATACGAGCGTGTGTGCACCTTTCAAGAACACCTTCAGGGGCACCCTTGACGAACAATTTGGGTGAAGATCCAAGTTTCGTGGGTTTAAGAGGAACACAGTATGTGGACATGGATTTACGGTCTCGGGAGAACTCAAGGGTGAATTCTTTCTTCCATTTAGTTTCAATATCTTGCCTAACTACGATGGCAGTGGTACGTCTGTCAAGACCGGACTTCGGAACTTCGAATGGATTCAATTTCTCAGCCAACACAATCAGAGCAGTTTCAGTGGCTTCACCAACCTGGGCAAATAAGAAAGGAATTAGTTTGACTGCAAATCAAAATGAAAGAATAAGTGCATTGATCAGCAAAAGCACCGATTGATGATTAAATGCAATTCCCAATCTGTTTATAATTTGGCAGGGATTTAGTCGTTCAATTGATTACTATCACTAAATTATTTGCGTGTGCTCGTAATATTTGGAGGATACAACACTAGATCAACTTTATTTCCTTTGAAGTAGATATCCAAAAAGTGAGGCTTAATACACCTGCATAAGTTCTAAAATGGACGTAATTCTGTCAAACGGAACTAAGCGCCAATTTGAGTTCCTTCTGAGGAATTTAGAATGCCGAATAGCACATTCTATCAAACGGAACTAAGCGCCACAGAAAAGCATTGCGAGTATAGGACGGAATGAGCTTGATGCCCGGATCCGCCACCAATCCAAGCCCCCCTCTACCTTCCTCCCCCTACGGCGCTTAGTTCCGTTTGACAGAAATAGTCCAAATAGCAGTGAAATGAAATAAAAACTGAGATACCAATACATTGATTTGAAATTCATAGCTAGCTATGAAAGTACATAGTTAACTGGAACTCAGAATATGTGACAAAATTAGACTGATTTTGCGTGGCAGTGCTAAGAAACAATTCTGACAATAAAAATACCTTCTCAAAAGCTTGTTTGAATTCGTTGAAATCAATAGCGGAATCGTTGCACATGACACAGATTGTTCCAAGTTCATGGAGAGTTTCAAAATCTGAGCCCTTGACTCTTGAGCCTTTCAAGAAAACTTCTCCAATGGGTTCATAGGTGGAACCAGTGATTTCGAACTCAGCGAAAGAGCTGTCATTACCTTCAATCTTGTCAAAGATGAACATTCTGCAAAAATAAAGCAAATAATTATTATTTAATTTCATCAAATTGAATGGACATAAAACAACTTTCACAAATTATATTTTTAGCAGCAAATTGCCATTCGTAATATAACATGGTTGCCACGATCAAAATTATCCCATCACAATGGGTCATTTATCATCACTATTGAGTGTTGCTGATCAAAATTAAGAGACGCCATTCTGTTCTGATGAATATTAGTTGCAGACTTAGTATCAAAAGACATTTATTCAATACTCTGATCGCAATTAATGTTGATCAAACAGTAGCAGTGCCTCATACTTTTGATCAGCAACATTCGAAAATCGCATTGATGACCCATTTTGATGTGCTCATTTTGACTGTGTGAGCCAAGCTCATAGGTAGGTCATTTTTTAATACTTCAACTTTTTAGGAAGTCTAAGAACACGAGTTTAGAAGAATTCTTGATGGGTATACGTTTTAACTTTAAGATTCTGCTTTGAAGATATGTATTTTTTTAAAATTGCCGACATCGGAAAATCTTATATTTTGATTCCCCTTTTTATTTAAAATTGGAGTCACTCTTTGTTAGTTGTTGTTCCCAGGATCAAAAATACTAAAAACTCAATTTTGATATTTTTACATAATGTGATTACAAAGCTTGTGAAAAAGAGAGGGGAGTACTTACCTACTAACGGACATTTGGTTGGTGGTTAAAGTTCCAGTCTTATCGGAGCAGATAACTGAGGTGCAACCTAAGGTTTCTACGGAGGGAAGAGATCTGACAATAGCATTTTTCTTGGCCATACGCCTTGTACCAAGAGCTAGACAAGTTGTGATTACAGCAGGTAAACCTTCTGGAATGGCAGCTACAGCTAAAGCAACAGCAATTTTGAAGTAGTAGACAGCACCCTGTAAAAGAGAAACAGATAATCAATCCAGACCATTGTTTTGAAGTAAAAATACCAGGCAAAATTATTTTTCAAGTCTCAGATCTTATCACCATAATAAGAAGACTGTAACCAAGCTTTTGCCTGACTCCAAAATTTTCGAATTCTCTGACTCCTGACCTTAAAACAAAACTTCGATGTTTTACTTTTAACTGCCCTGATTTTTGTGAAACGCTGCTTGCAAAAATCCCTGGCTTCCTAGGTCGCCGAAAATTGGTTGATTTTCCCAGTTTTCCAAACCACCAACAACCCTCTTCATGGATTGCGCACATTGTAAGAATCCGTGATATGCATGTATACGTTAAGAAAAATGGAACGTTGGAAAGTTCTCCCTGAAACCTTAAGCCTTCTGTTTCGAATGTTGTTTCGGTTCTTTAGCTCTTAAAGGCTGGCTTTTAAATCATCTATCAAATGGAGAGGATAAAAGACTTTGCATACCTTGATCCATGAGCCACCATGGGCCGGGTCGTTGAAGTGGCCGATGTTGATAGCCCAGACAGCAACGCAAATGATTGAGATAACTTTGGAAAGCTGTTCACCGAATTCATCCAACTTCTGCTGGAGGGGAGTCTTGATTTCTTCAGTCTCAGACATTTCAGTTCTGATCTTACCAATGGCGGTGGCAAGACCTGTTCCCATGACAACACCTCGAGCTTTGCCTGAGGCAACATTTGTACCAGAGAACAAAATGTTTTTCTTGTCCTAGAACAAAAAAGTCGAGAGTGATTATCTGCATGATACATTTGAGAATGTGAAAACGTCAAGATTAAAATAGACACTCATAATAGGGTGACTAAATAACTTCAGAATTAACGATCTTTGACTTTCCCATTTCATTTCTGATCAATTTTTTGAAAATTTCCTGTTTTTTAGTAAAAAGGGGATGGAAAATCAACATTTAAAGATTTTCTAAGTAGACTAGGAGAGAGGCTTAAGCTATGCCTGAGTAAACAGGTGTTCAAGATTCCATTTGAATTGTCTACCTAACAGCAAATTAAAATCAAGTCACGAATATGATTGTACTTAGAAGTGGCACTAGGAATGGTTCCTACGCTGTGAGTATAATCCACCCTTGCAGGCGAAAAGTTGACTTGAGAGACAGATCTCTTGGATGCCTGAACCTAATGCCACCTGATACATACAAAAAACTTAATTTTCTTGTCCAATTACATAAAAACAAAGTCAACTTACTTGGTTGACAGCCCTTGGGTCTGGAATTGCATCAGTATGTTTGATTACTGAGACCGACTCACCAGTCAAGATAGACTGATCAATCCTCAATGTCGTTGAGTAAATTTTGATGAGCCTAATATCAGCGGGGATCTTGTCACCAACTAAAAGGTACAAAAAGAAAAAAATTAGATTAGAGAGCAATAATACAAAAATTTCTAAAAAATTGAAAATTAGTAGGGCAAGATACTCTTGAAAAAATTATTTTACTCTCCTCTTTGAGATTCAACTAAGAGGGCTCCCAAAAAAATATTAGTTGTTTGAACCGTCTTTGGCTGAAAGACAGCCCTCATTCAGCTTAACGCAAAACTGAGACAAAATGAATAACACACTGTACATCACACAAGTATTGCGATGCTTCATTTCTAACCTTTTCATAAGTGCTTCTTGTGCTAATGTTACAGCTTATAATTTCAAAATTTGGCATTTTCAAAAACACACAATGTGTCGGCAGGAACATATTGGAGGCATAGAACAAAATAACTAATCAGAATAGGGGATTCTACGTACCAGATACTTCAACAACATCACCAGGAACTATTTCTTTGGCACGAACCTTCTGGACTCCAGATTTGTCCCCTCGGACAACTTTACCCATTTCAGGTTCATATTCTTTAAGAGCCTCAATGGCTGACTCTGCATTTCTTTCCTAAACAACAAAAAATAACCAAGAACTCAGAAATTAGCTAGTCTTGTTAAATAGAATGTGGACTTGAAAACTTGACTGGAACACTTGATATTGAAAATCTCTATCAGGTGGACTGGTAATGGATACCAAAATTAAATTTTGTTTAACTGTTCCTAGAAATTCAACAAACATGGTTGCACTTTTGCACTTAATCTTAACAAAACAAAACACCAAATTTTCTTAATTCATACTGAGAGATCCTCGGCAGTTTTCAGGGATGAAATTACGATCTAAATTTTTTTACAGAGATCGATTTCTGGAAACTTCATTTCCTGCATAACATCACAGTTAAACCTATTAGAGCTATTATTATCTCCATCCCTGAGGTATCTTATTGACTCCCATCAGAGCATAAAAATGCAGAGGAAGAGAGGATGCAGAAAAAAAGGGGATGGAGGAGGACTAAAAATTTACTTTGAGTGTTCTGAGAATCATTTGATCATAAGCTGCAAAAATGCTCAAGTTTTGAATGAAAGATCAAAATAAAACTTCCTCAAATCTCGGAATAGATTCAGTAAACCAATAAAAACCATTCTGTTGAAATTTTTTACATTGGTCAGCGTGTTATGCTAAATTCACGATCAAATAGATGAATCAAAGAACATTAATGACTTGAGGTGGAGAGCAAATTCATGAAGCGATGCCCTTTTATACGTGGGAAGATCTTAACAGTTTTTCTTGGATTTCATTGCTCGAGCTTTTTCAATCGTTTAGAGAAGCATTGAGAAAGAAACTGGAAATACTTTATGTCCTCATAAAAAAAAAACAATCAATAAGACTTGAGGAAATCCTTTAAATATCAGGTGATCTAACATAAATTATTAGTCAAGATAATCCATTATAGATGTTTAGATTCATTTTTGCACCCTTATCTGAGAAAAATTCTGAGGAAAATAAAGAAATAGATTTGAAGTCGGGTTTAAAAAAATCATGTCTGTTTTTCTTTTATTAAAAAAAAAATTAATTATGAGCTTACCTGCCAAACACCAACAATGGCATTTGCAATTAAAATAAGTAAAATAACAAAGGGTTCCACAAATGAGGTTAGTGTGTCATTAAAGTCTTCATGTTCTTCAAATAGAGCCAGAACCTGAAACAGAAAAAAATTTACAGTTAAAACTTGTTGAAAAGTTTAAGAAATAAACACTGCCAAATTAAAGCTCACCAGCCAATAGAGGGAAACATGGAAAAATGCAGCAGGGTCCGTTTAAGTTTTTCAGCTTTCATCATCCGAATCTACTGAGGTAAGCCGTGCCCTAAGAATGCCCCGTGAGTTAGGGAAAATGCGATACGGATGATGTAAGTAACACAACTGCATGAGAACAAGCCCTCGGCGCTCAAGATGATAGATAACGCAAGATGAAGAGCTCAAGCAGCAAACATCTTTCTCAGAATTTTCAAGAGTAGGTACTAAAAAAAAGTGCACAACCACCTCTATTTTCAGAAGAATTCAGAACTTTCCTAATTCATCCCCCCTCCCATTGTTTGTCTTTAAATATCCGGTATTTCTGACGTTTCGGAAAAAAAGATACTCAAAACTTTTCCGCCAAGCCGGAGTAAGTTAAAAGAGAATCATTCATTTTCCAGGCATTACCTACTTGTTATCTTTGAGAAAAAATCTCTAACAGGGTGTCTGGTATTTTTTAATTTTGAAAAACCCTGGTATTTTCTTGATTTTTCCTGATATTTTATAAAAAATTCCTGATATTTTCCTGATTTTTCTCGACTCCTGGCACGGTAGGCAGATAGCAGTAAGACTTTCTCCGCTGAGGAGATTTGCATAAGAAAAATTCCTGATAAAACGTCCGATTCTCCGATTTTCCTGATTTTTTCCTGATCGGCCAAAATTCCTAATATTTTCCGGGTTTTCCGGTTTTCCTGATGCTAGATACCCTGTCTAATAACGAGGACGGTATGAGGCTGGAGGGAGGTTTAAAAATTCAAAGTAAAATTTTTCTTGCACCGACCTTCCTAAGTTCGTGCTTTTTCCCTTGAACGAAGCTCCCATCCGACAACCGCGCGTTACCTACTTACTAGAAGCGGACGCGCGGGGGAGGAGAACGTTGAGGGGGGGGGGCGGCGGCTGGCGCACGAAAATATTTTTTAAGGTACCGGCGAACCGACGGCCGGAGCCGGGTCCGAACTCGATGGACGTGTTGAGAGACGTTTTATTTAAGGGCTCTCCGGATGGCTCCCCCGCCACCCACGCTCCCCGAGTTCGTCGATCTTTGATATTGACATTGAGATACGGACACGGAAGAACGGGCGGGGGGCTGGAGCTTGAGCTTTCGGTGCGAAAACACAAAAGGGAAAGGGGTAACGAGCAACGCTAAACCGGGCCGGGGCTCTGAGTTAACTGCGTATAAATAAACCGTGGAACTTGACGAGCACCGCGCAATAAATACACTGCGAAATTACTCGCCGCCGGTGATAATCCCGCGAACCTGCCGCTTTCCGCTTTCGGTTTCGTTATCGTCCTCCCGCGGAGGTGGCCCCGGCCCGGAGCTTTCCGCTCGAGGAGGCGCCCGGAAATTGAGTTCTCCTTCATTTCGCCGGCTACGCAATTTGAGCTACTCCGATGACGAAAATATTGTATCGTGCATTTTTTATGGATCTCGTAGTGCTTCATTTCTTAGGTCAAAACGAGTGAAAATAGGTCAGAAATCAAGTTTTCCTTCATTTGACCGATTAAGCGATTTCAGCTTCATTTCCTTGGTCAAAACGAGTAAAAAAAGGTCAGAAATCAAGTTTTCCTTCATTTGACCGATTAAGCGATTTGAGCTTCATTTCCTTGGTCAAAACGAGTAAAAATAGATCAGAAATCAAGTTTTCCCCCATTTGACCGATTCAGCGATTTGAGCTACTCCGATATCGAAAATATTGTAGCGTGCATTTTGTATGGATCTCGTGGTGCTTCGTTTCTTAGGCCAAAACGAGTAAAAATAGGTCAGAAATCAAGTTTTCCTTCATTTGACCGATTAAACTATTTGCGCTACTCCGATGTCGAAAATATTGTAGCATGCATTTTGTATGGATCTCGTAGTGCTTCATTTCTTTGGTCAAAACTAGTAGAAATAGGTCAGAAATTAAGTTTTCTTTCATTTGACCGATTAAGCGATTTGAGCTGCTCCGATGTCGAAAATATTGTATCGTGCATTTTGTATGGATTTCGTAGTGCTTCATTTCTTAGGTCAAAACTAGTAATAATGAGGTCAGAAATTAACTTTTCCTTCATTTGACCGATTAAGCGATTTGAGCTGCTCCGATGTCGAAAATATTGTATCATGCATTTTGTACGGATCTCGTAGTTCTTCATATCTTAGGTCGAAATTGGAGGGGCTTGGAGGACAAGGCGCATAAGTGCAATTTTTACTATTTCGAGAAATAAGTGTTTCAAGTTTCGAAATTACATAGGTTTTTGTGGCGCGGACAGAGAGTTCAAACTGACTTTGTGCTTTGTGATGCTTAAAGATGGAATTAGGGAGAGAATTTTCCCGAGAATATGCACTAAGACTAGTTTTACTTGAAATCATTAATATCTCAATTTTTTCAAAAACTACACTTATCCGCCTTGCCCTCCGAGCCCCTCAAATTGTACTTTAATGGATTCCCTGATTTTTACGGGTATTTTTTGCCCCGATCAACTACGAAACATCCCGGATTTTCTAGTTGCTACGCGATATGCCGGAAAACCGCGGGAAATCCGCCAGTTTCCTGATAGGTAACATTTCTCTCCGAAAACTCCTCGGTTTTCTAACCGTCTCGACACCCTGACTACAAATAAAAAACGTCTACAAGCAGCGGGACGAGCGCAATGACGTAAAAGTCAGCCGAGAATTCGACTCCTCTCGTTCCGGCCGGAACTTCCGGTTCCTGATTCGGGGCCCGGAAACGCGGGATCGAAAAACCAACGTTAAAGGCAACCCGTACTTTTTATTGTTCTCGGCCGGACCCACCGGTGCTGACCGCGTATTTATAGCCCGCCCTTGAAACTTATTTCTGACAATTTGTAACGCCGAAAACCGGACCCGCGACAGTTGGATATGGACCAAATTTTGAGAAATTCGAGATAAGCCGTTACGGGGGAAAATCGGAGCTTTTTCGGGGGAGAATGCAGCCGCGACGGGAGCGTCTCGCAGAAGCGCGTAACTCCTCCCGGGTATTGTGCGTGAATGCGCGGTTTTGTTTGGGAGGGTCGAAGGCCGCGGGCGACCCGGGCATAGGTCCAGGGGACTATTTTCACCTCTCTGAGACTCCTAATAAATAAATACCTACACATTGTCGGGCGCGGGACTCCCGGCCAAATTTTTCTTGGTACAGTATTTACACTGCGGGTGGAGCGATGAAGGATGAACAGCCGAATTACGCGCGTGCACTCGCTTTGGCGGAGTTGCGTCTTGTGCATGCGCCGCGGGAAAAAAATTTCGTGTCGTTAAGCTTCGGAGCAATTGACCTAGACAGGGGTGAGAATTAGAGCATCGTAAGCTGTGTTTCCTTGTGACAATTTTACGCGGGGTATGATGAACACGTTCTTAACAAGTCCAAAATCAACTTGTAAGTGAGAAATTAGCGTTGCACCAGAGTGGTGGCTGAGCTCTAACATCAATATTCCCTGCAGAGACTAATATTCGGGAAAAATTCGCTATATGTCGCTAGCTCTAGCACTAGGCTCCGTATAAGCTCCATAGTCATGCGTGATGCATGCATGAAAAATTGAAGGCGCGCTGGTTATCATACACTTTTTCCCTGTTAAGGGATGGTGCGGGTGTCGAAGAAATGAAGGATGCACGTGGAAGGCAATGAGCNGGGGGGGGGGGGAGTATTCAGTATCGTGCGACTATCGACTACCATACACGCTGATCTATTATCAGGCAGAAACACTTTATACGATTGCTTGAAAAATTTACCATTTGCCATAGAAAATTTGCCTGGAACTTCACGAACCTGTATTCTCTGATATTGGATGAATTATTTTCCGTTAAAGGTATTCTGATATGTGTTCAATAGGTATTGATTTAAATAGCTGCTTCGATTTTATGCGAGTTTTGAGGTTCACTCGACGTATTTTTGAAAAATAAACGCATACTTGCGTTAAGCGTATAATTTCAAATTTTGAGGAAAAACTACAGAAAAATAAAGGCAAGAATATGGTGTTTATGGGGTTCACTGTTCAATTGGACAAATTCATGCTAAAAGGTATCTGAAAAAACGCATTCAGCGATGGAAAAATAAAAAAAATTTAAAAAAAAAACTTTGCACATGCTTTGCGTGCTTCGCATGGTCCCCTATACTTTAATTAATTTATGCACAGCTCTTTTCAGCATGAATGCGTCAAATTTAAGATAGAATTTCTTCCATCGTACCTTCTTCTTTAAACTAGGGTAAATTGACTTCAAAATTTGATAATATAATATTGAAACGATTATTAACTTCTTAGGGGTTGAATTTTTGAAGGATAACCTGATGAGTGAGTTAACGTTGTGGATCGAAACATGCTCACTACTTAATGAAAAACAAAATATAAGAGAAAACCTAGGAGATTAGGGATAGAATAATTTTGACCTCATTTTCTTTCACCTGAGGAATTTCCTCGGAATGCCCGGGGCGTTGCTCCGACGGCGTATCGCGAGCAGCGACACTAACCTACATTCGCGGGGGAAAAGAGGGATTCCCGTGAAAAATGGCAACCCGGCGCTTTGGGCCCCGTTGGATTCGTGCATTGTTGGACCGACTGCACGGCAAAAATAGAGTCGACGAAAAACTGGAAAACTTTCAAAATTATTCCTCTGGTTCAGAATCGAGGCGAATGCCAATACTGATAATGGCACGGTGGGAGGAGGCGAAGTAGAGGGGGGGGGGGTTCCGGGGGGCAG